ATATCTTATTGAATGATTAGACAAAAAAAATAATGAAGCCGGACACGAGAAAACTGAATCAAAAAATAAACGAAGAAAGCTCAATACTTTGATAAAGTAGTTTGTTGGTTGCTCTAATCAGAAATATAATATTTATTTATACTAAGGTAAATAATTCAATTTGAGTAATTCCTACAGCGTTTCTTTCAAGGTTCCTATTCTCTCAAATAATTTAATGAATTTGGTTAGGCAACTTTTCATGTAAATAAATCCCACTGACTAATAGAGGTATTTTTTACGCAGTGGGGCTTTATCGAAAATATCGTTGTTTTCTTGCAATAATAAATGTTTTACGGTTTTCTGTTACAGAAATATGTGCTCACAATAACCAATATAATATTCTATATATTATACATACTAATAATATTCATTGTTTGTTCACAATATACAAAAATAGTTGAAATAATGCTTGAAAGCTTATAACTTACGACTAGGATTGTATACAACTAAGCACAATTTGGCAACACCGAGGACTACGCTCTTCATGGCCTGTAGTAAAGGTGGTCGTGGATAAGCGAAACCTCCGTGTCATTTATAAAGTGAATATATTTCCTTTGAAATTCGATTATTCCAGTTATTACTCGAATATTCAATATTTCATCAATATCGCCCTATTTTGATCATTCGCAAACTCCAGCTCTTCAACTGTCTGCACCTGACTGATGTAATAAGAGATCGAAAACAACCAATCCCATTAACTTCACGACTTGGATCATAATATTGTTTCGATATCATCTGCTTTGCGCGAAACCATAGAGATATCTTGCCTAGGTACTCGCTATTATATTCAATTTCTCGCAACATGCGCCCGTCCAACTTGCTCAAGAATAGGACTTCAGCGTTCTTGCTAAATCGGGTTTTGTTTTTCCATTTGATTCACGTACCGGCAAAAGTGATTATGGACGATCGTGAAGTCTGCAAGTACTGATGGAAGGTACGTCGTTATTGTTGTTATTATTAGAAATGGACAATTTACAATAGAGTACGTGATTATATTTCAGACCACTACTTAGTACGGGAATGGCAAAAAATATTTACCTGGAATACCGCCTAGCAATTAAAAATGTTCCTAGAAATTTCTCATCAACTTCACCTTCGCTTTCAGTTACTCAGAACTGTTTCACAGACATAAGACCTAAGAGACGCAGTTAGAAAAATCGGTACTTGGTCGATTCCCTGAATAGAAAATATGTTTACTTTTCATAAGCATTGTAAATTTCGACAATAACATAATGTTTCAGAGGCTGAAGAATCTTATTCGTTAACCACGAAAGTAGAAATTCAATGAATTTATTTTCATTGATTCATTCGTTCCCTCAGACTTGTTATCGTTTTCTTCCATAGAATTATTATTATTCGGACAGATGTATCTCAGTCCGGTTGGACATGAATGAAGTTAGAAAAATAATATAATATTTCAGTGAAGTTCCTTTATTTCTTTCAAACCAACACATTTTTTGTAATTTACATTTTATAGTTTGAATGTATTAAAGTAAAATGTTTTTTCAGAAATGTCGAAAGTGGAAAACCATTATTGATTAAAATTCATTATTGACTAGCTCATACCTAACTTTGAGGAACAGCAGTTATGCTGTCTTAGATCTGACACTTGTTTTTGACTAAATTTTGGTCTCTGAATTCAAAAATTTTATAAATTTTTCTCTATCCTAAAAGTCATACAAAATGGGCATACAGAGGAAAATAAAGTGGGTGATAACTAAAAATATCAAAATATTTTATTCTTACAAAGGTTATTATAATATCAAAAATTAAATTGTGTTTATACAAAAAATAAAATTTGGGTAAAAGTTTTCGCTTATAACTTTTCCTAGAATGTTCAATCTGGGGACATTCTCGCTTGATGCTCCAACAGTAGTCAGCCATACTGACATCCCATCTACCTTGATACCTTGCCTCCATGACCTTCAAATCTTGGTGAAATCGCTCACACTGTTCATCACTAACAGTGCCAAGATTTTCTGGAAAGTTAGCAAGATGGCTAAGTAAGGAATGCAGTTTGATACTCATGTTACAGCCAAGCTTTTTAAAGCTTTCTAAGAGTTGTTGAACAATTTCCTCGGAATTCTGCGCTCGTGTGTTATTTTCAAGCATTACTTTCAAGTTCGGTCATTGTTTCAATGAAACGTTCATCTTCAATAAGTTGCCGAAACTGTGGCCCATCAAAGGCACCAGCCTCCATCTTCTCATATGACAAGCTAGGAAATGCCGAAATGATATGCTTAAAACAGTCCCCCTCAGTTGATGAAGCTTTAACACATTGCTTCAAGACAACTAGTTTTATATGCAAAGGCGGAATTTTTGTCGATAAGTGGCTGATTTAGAATGTTTGGATCACCAGGTTTCAGGTCAGATCTTGGCGACCACTTTGACTTCAATTTTTGATATGCGATTTTGAAAGATATTTTTTAGTTAAAATAATGACAGCTTGGCATCCGGTGTTCGAAAATTTCATACGAAATATGATCGGAATGGTGTTTCAACTATATCAACTGTGAAGAGATTGATTGAAAAATTCCAGGGGACAGGATCCACTGGAGACGCCAAACACACTGGTCGTCCAAAAACAGGCCATTCAAATGTCAAAGTTACAGCATTGAATCGCAGTGGAGGTGACAATCCAAGAACCTCGATTCTGCGCCGTGGACAAGAATTGCAAATTTCAAGCGTATACTCATTAAAGATCTGTATCCCCATGCTCACAAAACTCAATTAACATAATAACTAAGGTTTAATGATCATGCACAGCCAAGAGAGTTTGCAGAAAGGATTATTGCTAATCAACAAATGGATGCTGCTTCTTCAAGCAAAATCATCCTCAGCGACGAAGCAAATTTTCACCTTGATGGGTGAATCACACTTGAGAACCCACTTGTGATTATCGAAAAACAAATACATCTTGAAGAAAGGATACAAATACATCCTGGGCTGGAGGCATAATTGGATCATACTTTTTTGAAAATGAGGCTGGTGAAACAATAACTGGTGCTTGATATCGTGCCAAGATAGCACAGTTCTTTTTGCCGTAATTGAATGATATTGATGTGACAAATATGTGGTTTCCACAAAACATTTTAAAGTCGTGTACTCTCTCGTTTTAGTGATCAGATTTGGCCTTCTAGATCGTTTGATTTAACACCATTAGATTTTTTTATAGTATCATTCGAAATGACAGGTATGTCAACAAGCCCTTGATTCCACGTGCATTAAATGAGGAGATTCAATGCTGCATCAAGGAAATTGAGCCACATTAATGCAGAATGGGCTTGGAAGAGGTTATTTGCCCGATGTGTTATTTCATAAAAACCCTATCCGATGTAATTTATGATTCAAATCAAAGTACTGAAACCTGTGTTTTCTATTCAATTCAAGCAGACTGATGTGCTTGAAAATGTAGAAATACTTACTACGAAACTGCAGCGGCATTAAAATAAATATATATATATATATATAGATAATACTATGCATTGTCACAAAGTAACGGACAAATCCATCCAAAAATTTGCGAATGTTTCAAAAATTTATAATTTTATAGATACGAAACGTAACAGAGAAAAATAAAGAATTTTTCTTAGGCAATGAACGAAAACAGGAGTACTTTAGTTAAATAAAAATAATAATAATCCTAATTGTATAGACATTTCTTTCCTATAAACGGTAAGAGTTTAACGAGATATTTCAAAGACCCTGTCATTCCCAAATATCAGGTACACAATAAGTGCGTATAATGCTGTCAGCTTACTGGTGATGGTGGATACGATTCATACCGTGTTCTTGTACCGTTCGGAGTCGGCGTTGAACTGTAGTTCTGACTTTCAGACAAGCACAGTATTTGAAAAAATAACTGGCTTTTATACTACAGTATTATATATGTGTATAAAATAATTGAAGGGCATTTCAATTACTCATTCAAAAGTTGTTATGCCGCAAAGTCGAAACTTCCCTGAAACTTTTTTGCTGCAATATAGAGTAACTGACCTTGTTTCTAATGTGACCCAATGCAATTAACTAAATTTCAATTTGTTTTTATCAACGAGATGTACCTACGTACATCTTTTGTAACGAACCTGATCATCAAATCTGACATATATATTTATATCTTATCTTTATGTTCATTTCAATCATACCCATTATTAATAGATATCCATATCAGTCTGCAATTAGTTGATGTTTTTTCAATTCAACAATTTTTATGAAACAATGAATGATTTCCTTCATATTGCCCATAAAGAACTTATTTTGTATATTTTCAGAAATTTTCTGGCGATATGAAATCCAATTCAAAGATCCTTCGTTATATTTTGTATATGTGCCCGCAAAAAACGCCCCGTTTTTCACATGGTTGTGAGAATTTTATCGGCTGGACTAGTTTTTGAGCATTGACAAATGACCCAAATTATCAAAAAACGTTTTTCAAATTCTGGCATTAGAATTAAGGCGTCTTTTACATTGTCGTGGGCAAATTTTCATCAAATTGAATTGAATCAAATTGAGAGTCAATGGCACTGATATTGAGACGAATTTGTGAAAAGTACGGCTACCGAATTTTGTAAAACACTCCGCTAATATGGACAGATGTTCGAAAAGCATTAGGCATATTGATTGGAAATGGAATATATTGATTATGAGGAAGACACGGTAATAACTGACTAATCTTCATTAATTTGTAAATAATTACCATGCAAAAAACAACAAATTAAATGAACGAAATGTTTTAACGCAACCTCGCTGGGTAGAATAATGAACAAATTATGTCAAAATTATCAGTTTTGTAAGCGATGTTGATGGTTGAAGTGAATATAAAAAAATACACAGAATTTTATTCTGTTCTCTTATCCTCACCTGCTGTATTGAAGCAATTTTTTGGCGCGATAAAAAAAAATATAACTAGTTGAAGAAATATTTTGCATAAAATTTTATTTCAGAATAATCAACTTTTTGTCGACCTCCGTAGCTTAGTCGGGAAAGCACCTCACTACGGATCGGTAGGATTCGGGTTCGAGCCCCGATCGTCTACAATTTAAATAATTTACTGATGATAATTCTTGGGTAATGTACATTGATTACAAGCCCATTGACCATTCGGAACGGCGGCGTTAAACTGTAGGGGAACGTTTACAAATTACGTAAGGCTGTTTTTTTTCAATATTTTTGCCCCCTACCCCAATGTAAGGAAACATAAGTTTAGGAGATATCCACCCCCTCTCTCACGTAAGAATCAGCTATTGAATATATAATATATAATAGAGAAGATAATTTAATGAATATCAAAAAGTTCTAAAGTAATGACGTTGTATGAAAACTAAATAACTTAACATATGTATGTATTATAGTTTATTATAAGTAGTTTGTTCAAAAAAAAACTAAAATAAAACTTGAAAAATTGAAAATTATTAATCTAGATAATCAGCATTTGGCGCGAAAGAGTTTGTTAACCAGTCTGACATAGAGTTGACAACTGGTATACTATTTAATTCTGTGGTATATGGCGTTCATACGACGCCGACTGTTGGTTTAGTGTTGAGTGCGGCCGAATACTGATAGTAATAAATATAGAAAGCATCGAGTTTCATTCGGATCTTCACTCGCTGTTCTTTGAGTTCGAGATGTTATAGACACAATTTAAAATCGCAGAAAGTCAGCACGCAAAATAACATTTTAACATAGTCGATAACCTTACGTAAATATGATGAATATCCCCCTACCCTCATGTCAGGTTTCATAAGGGATTGTCAACCTCACCTACCCACCAATAGGCCTTACGTAATTTGTAAACGTTCTCTAGGTCCAACGAAATGAAAAAAAAATCAATTTTTTTAAAATTAAGAACAAAGAAAGTGTAAGGGGCTTAAAAGTGCTTTTAACAATAAAAAGTCCTGGAAAGTTTGAAGCCGAACAAAAAGGGTCACGTTATAGACATTACAATTTAGAAGTTTAACAATGTGTTGGACGATGTTGTGAAGTTCACGAACCTAATTGTCGATCTTAGCTAAGTGAAACCGTAGGGTATATTTTTGTAACTATGATTCACAAAGGAAACAGAGGTCTGATCTAATGTTTCAATTTCAATTATAGAATTTTTCATCGTACAGTTTAGAAATAGATGTTTATTTTGGCGTTTCCGATTCAATTACATAACTATATAATTTCTCATTTACACTTTCTATTTTTGCGCGCGTGCTACAATCCGATGTTGTCTCAATATTATTAAACATCGCGAATTCGGGCCTCTCGGCACGATCGGGCCATTCAGGCAGAAGTTTTCGTTTCGGGTGTCGATTATTGTGAAGCATTTCATTCGAAGATCAACGGTTGTTTGAAATGAACTAATGGCACGCATAAATGTAGTTTATGGGTCGTTTTTTATCGACATTTGGAAACTACTTTCAAATTTTCAATTCGAGTATCTAATGAGGGAATTGATATTCACTCCAATAATTCGAAAATATTTAGCTATTCTGAGCGTTCTTTATAATCTGCAATTAAGGAGTGTATCTTAATTAGTGAGAACTTTTATAACAAGTCAATTATTTATCGAGGTGATAAACAAGTTATAGGATTTTTTTCTGTGGTGAAATTGAAAACGGGCGATTCATTTCTGTATTGACAACAATGTGAATGAAAAGACAAAAAGTATTATAGAATTACTGTACTGATATCATTCACTTTCTAAACGAAAGTGATTGTTGTTAAACGAAAGTAAACTGAACTAGATTTTATGGCAAACATTGAGTTTTGCCATAAATGCCATAAATTTTTCCATTTGGATTCTGTTTTTTATCTAAACGACCTTTGCATAACATCTTCATGTTTCATCGAGACAATTATTTAAGAAACGTCAGGAGTTAAGTTCTGAAAGTAGAAACGGATAAATCCTACTAGAAGACAATCAATTCATGATTTATCAATCAAGTCATCAATTATGATATAATAATTGATTAAAACGATTATCACAATAAACAATTGATAAACGAATTATCTTCAGCTGACATTATAGTTAAATTTATCAACATTTTAATTATTAACATAACTAATGATAGAAATACAATTTTACGAAATTATGATTTTTCGTCTTTATTTTTCTACATTTCATATTAGAATTCATCCTTGTCTCTCTCTTTCTCTCTCTCGCTGTATATATATATATATATATATATATATTATATATATATATATATATATATTATATATAAATATATATATATATATATATAAATTTATGTTTTGGCCTGTTGGATAATTTGAATTTTTCGATACTTTATTAAATGAAAAAACTTCATATTCCATTAGTTTTGACAAATAATCAACAAGGAAACGTCAACGAAAATTAAGTGTTTTTATATAGCCTGTTATGAAAAAGATTATATATATATATATATATATATATATATATATATATATATATATATATAGTTTTCTTATATACTATTTCATTTATACTTGTATATATTTTTCGAATATTTTTAGCAACAACAGGCTATTTTCAATGTTGAAAGCTTCATTATTTTTGACGTTTCGTTGTTTATCACAACTTTGTCAAATCTAATGAATAATTATAATTATAATAATAATTATTCATTAGTTCTGACAAAATTGTGATATCCAACGAAACGCAACAAAAATAAAGCTTTTAACTTTGAAAATAGCCTGTTATTGCTAAAAATATTAAAAATATAACAAAGTATCTCAAACAGGTAATAAATTAATTTTCTAAATTTACATATTTATATATATATATATATATATATATATATATATATATATATATATATATATATATATATACATTTGACAATCTATCTGATTCGTGAACCATTTTATTTATATTGTAAAATTTCGAATCTTGGGTTTTTTGATTCAATTAAAACAAAATGATGTTAGTTTATTTCCAAATTATGTTTCGGTTATTATTTCAACTTTCAAACTGATATATGTCATATGATCGCTAAAACAAAATGAATATAAAAACAATGCTCACAAACGTGATTTTAAATTTCACCACAATATAAATACCTAGACACAAAAGTTCATAGCTATTTATAATCATAATATTTATAATTTTTGGAAAAATTTCAAATATTTAAGTATAATCGTCAATATAGTTGTTGTTGCTGTCACCTATGAACTTTTGTGTCTAGGTATTTATATTGTTGATTTAAAATCACTTTTGAGACCATTGTTTTTATAATGATTTTGTTTTAGCGATCATATGACACATATCAGTTTGATAAAGGTTAAAATGATAACCGAAACGTAATTTTGAAATAAACTAACATCATTTTGTTTTGATTAAACCAAAAAACCAAAGATTCGAATTTTTACGATATTTTTATATATATATATATATATATATATATATATATATATATATATATATATATATATATATATATATATATATATATATATATATATATATATATATAAATGTACATTTTAAAATTGATTTATTACCTGTTTAAGATATTTCATTTCGGATGTTTCTAGCAATAACAGGCTTCTTTTAATATGAAAAACTTTATTTTTGTTAACGTTTCGTCAAAACAACTTTGTAAAAACTAATGAATTTTCATTAGTTTTGACAAAGTTGTGATATACAACGAAACGTTAATAAAAATTAAGTTTTTCATATCAAAAGAAGCCTGTTATTGCTGAAAACATTCAAAAAATAATATATATATATATATATATATATATATATATATATATATATATATATATTATATATATGCATATATGTATATATGTGCATATATTTAAAATTGATATTCTCACTAATAACATACTGTAAATATGAGAAAATTTATTTTTTATTTACGTTTCGCAACAAATGTTAACTTTATGGAAGTATCAAATGGAATTTATATTTCCCTGACTGACAGTATTATTGACAGGTGAAACTCCCGAGAAAAGTAGATATGTACCCAAATATCTATGTATTTATAAAAATCTCATTAAATATCAATAGTAAACAATTGCTGTTACATAAGGTTGTATTGTAATTTCATTAATGCAAGATAATATTCAAGAATTCCTGACCACAAGAGATAAAAATTCCTAGTGGCTTCAGAATGTATCATCATTGAGATTCTACTAAAAGTTGCTTGAATATTCCATCAAGTGAAGAATTGTTTTGTTATGATGAAAATCGTGATGTAAAGTAGGAACAATTAAAATTGTTTCTGTTTCTCGAAAAATTAATCGTATACATTCGAAATCTTTACTATTATTGAAAACGTGCAATAAATTCAAGATGTGTGATAATTTCACTGAAAAAACATCAAGGTAAGCATCATGAGGAATGTGGTTATTTCAACTGAGTTTGATTACATTTTCATTCAAAACGTCTATTGAAATAGACAACCATGTACTACATGAGGAAGTAGGTATTATGTAAATTATTATAACACAAGATATGAATTGATTAGCATCTAATCATCTTCTATATTAGCATCTTATTGTTGATGTTGGTTATGTCCTGATAATGGTGAGTAGCTTACATCGAGTATATCAAAGTTTTGTGAAATTGAACGCTACAATGGAATTTCTTTTCAAATTTATCATGCCAGTGTTCATTTTCGTTCAACTTTAGTCATAACTACTGTCTAGTGAGCGTCGTGTGACGACTATAGTCATAGTCGTGTCTCGCGTGAACAATCTGACGATTATAGTATAGCATGTACAAGGTCTATAATATACAGTTATGAACGTTTTCAATGACTATAGTATAGTTATGTGCGCGGTCCATTGTGCACGTTGTGACAACTACAATCATAGTTATGTACAATGTGACTTCTAATAATTGAATCGCCTATTATAATATCAAGATCCAATGTCTCGTGGATGACAAGCTTATGGCTATTGACAATGAACAAGAATTTAACAATCATTCAGCATACAAATTTCATATTAATAATTGTTGACAAACACAATAATATATTACTGAAATACTTCAATGTAATATAAACGCATTATTACATCGTGATTGAGTCTATATATTGCTATGTTGACGACAAAA